AATATCAAGCTCACTGAAGGGAAATGATAAGGCCTGGAATGAAATGAATAATGTCTGGAAGTTGTAATGCGTATGGACTCTAACTAATTGATAAAATAGTGTCAGTTGACTGACACACAAATTGAATACTAAATGCCAAAGTAACCCTTGCTGTTATGCACAATATTTTTCGAACTGATTACTATGTCATTAGAAGAGGGTTAATGATAGGGTGTTCTATTGGCCTTACTAGTCCTTATTAATGTGATTTCTAGAGGATTGGGGTGGGGCGGTGATTTTTTCACTATCACACCTCGTTATTGTGTGTAAATAAAAACTTCAGCCTCCATCTGCTTGAAAAACGAATGAAAGCCTTAACAAGAAATATCGAGTATTTCGCGAGCAAAGCCATAATCTTTGACATAGAGACATGAGCATATGCCTGTAACATTTATGTTTTAATAATCAGTTAAAATCTTCCATTTTAAGAGGCCATATCATGTAAGTCACTGTGTTGTATCCTTGGATCAAGTTATTAACTCCACTTGTCCTGCTGTGATATGACTAAACAGTTGATGTGAAGTGCCCATTAAGCATAGTCTTTTACTTGGAAAAATGCATATACACAACAATATATATCTGCAAAAACGTAAACTGACGAGCAAAAGAAATGTTTATGTTGTATTGTTTAAGTCAGTCATGCTTTTTGTGTCCATCATCCATTATCTTTGTAATTGAAAAGTACATTCAAATTCCTTCAGCAGTTTTGACTACAAACTTGTCAAGTTAACTTTTTTCTGTCAATTTAAAGAAAACTGCACATAGGGCTTTTGCTACAAATGGTCTTTTATTGTATAAAGCTGCTTTATTATTGTGACATTTTCATTATTTTGATTGAAAATCACCTACTTCTATTAAGTTATGAAGTAGTTCCATAGGTTTAGTTTGAAATGTGACGTAACAACATCTCAGCTTTAACAAATTATGAAAAACAATCTCAGATCATAAAAATGAAGAAATTATTACTCCTTTAAAACATTGTGGCCAAAACAATATCAGCTCAGCTATATTTTATTATGAAAAACAAATCATCTCAGATCATAAAAATTAAGAAAAAGAAACATGAAGAAGAACAAACTCACAAAAATGTACAACTTCATGGATAACATCTTCTGAAGCCTGGCTTCATTACCCGTGTGCTTCACTACCTGTGTACTATTTGTTATTCCTTAATGTACAGTTGGCTATGTTACTTGTTTTCTATTACCTGTTGTTACCACAACATATCATGCATATATCCCTCTCATCACTTGGTTGCTGACACTTTAGCTGGATAACGGTGTGAGAATCTAAATCGAAACTTCGCTGTATGTATCGTTATCCATAAAGTTATATCTTGTCTTACTTACTCACCAACTTCTAGAATGCCGATGAAACAGTTAGTGTAGGTGAAGTTTGTTTTAAAAAATCGAGTATAAATATCAATTATAGCGGTGCAGGGTTCAGAATTGGTACTGTTTGGAGGTGAAAACAGTTAAGATGTTGAACAGGAAACGAGAATATCTCTTTCTGATATAATATACTTAACAACAAAAGTTCCTGTGACACCAATATTTTAGTGTATTTTTCAAACAAGTAAAGTTAGGTTTCAGTATTGTAGTAAGTGTATAGAATCAAGTTAGAGAAACGCAACTGCTACAGAAAAGCATGCATTCCATGCAAAAGTTTACTTTTATGCAAGCCCCATGCATTTCACTACCCAAGAATGGGTATTAAAACATGTGCGTTAACGGGATTCCATATGCATTGTTTAGGATCGTGCTGACAACAACCACTCAGACAAACAACAAAATTACACAATTATTCAACATTACGAAATGCCATGCCGGTCCGAAAATGAGCGCCTGCGAGCCATTGGTATGCTTGAAGCAGGATCGAGTCAACGTGATGTTGCAAGACAATTTAACGTCCACAGAAACACCATTTGTTGTTTACGGCAACGTTGGTAACAGACGAATGCAGTCAGAGACTATCCTCGGAGTGGCAGGCCACGCGTAACCAATAATTGCCAAGACAACTGGATTCGAACAACACACCTACGAAATCGATTCCAGCCAGTGAAGCATCCCTGGTCTTCGACGAATATCTTCACAAAACGTACGTCGCCGCCTCAGATGTGCAGGGATTGTCGCCAAAAGACCCGCCAGACGTCACATTTTGCCAGGAAACCACCGTCAAGCACGTCTACAGCGGTGCAGACAGCGTCTACGCTCGACGGTCATGAAGTGGGGACAAGTTCTATTCACTGACGAGTTTTCACCTCAGCCACAGCGATGGACGGATTCGAGTGTTTCGACGTCGAGGTGAACATTACGTCAATCATTGTGTCATGGAAGAAGATTGGTTCGGGGGCGGCAGCGTTATGGTAAGGGGTGGGATTACAGCAAGACAGAGGACCCGTTTGATACTGGTAGATGGACAGCGCTACCGCGACGAGATCATCGGCCCTGTTGTTCTACCGTTTTTGCGTCGTCATGGCCCAGGCATTACCTTTCAACATGACAACGCCCGGGCTCATATTGCAACAAAACAACGTGAATGTCATCCCCTGGCCGGCTCGCTCCCCTGATCCTTCACCAATCGAGCACATGTGGGATGAGATGGATCGGCGCCTTCGACGTCAACCACGTGTTCCATAGAACTTCGAAACATGCTCCAGCAGATATGGACAGATATCCCACAGGACTCTTTGTGCGACGCCTGGTCCACTCCATGAGACGAAGATGTGTTGGTTGCATCATTATTTGAAATAACGACAAAATAATCGAAATTACGAGAAAATAATTAAAACAACAGGAAATTTTGAGAAAATCATTAAAATAACGACAAATTTCAATGTAGGAAAAGTACAATTATGCTACCAAAGTGGCACCGTTAGGATTTTGTAATAAACAATTGTGTAAGCCCTAAATATTTCTGACACATATGACGATTAATAAACATGAAAGCTAAACATATGTAAAAGTCAATCAATCTGGTCATTTCTCAGTTATACAGGTAAAAGTCGATGGAAAGTTTGCGACATAATTATCTTCCATTTTAAAATCACAGTCCTTATTTATGAATATTTATTATATCAAATGAGAGAGGACACTATAATGATATTCGTTTTTAAAATACATCAACTACATGGCCCTGGTTATCCCCTTCAATCTGGTACTTACTAATCCCCATCCCCATTGTCTATATTATCAGAGTGAGAATGAAATGCATCTCTTACACAAATATAACTGCTCTGTCTTTCATACATGTATGTCACAACTATAACTCAATGCAAACAACTCATGTTGCTGTGAGGTTAAGATGATAATGCATTTTGGTAATACGTTATGTAATAATTTGTTATTTATAGGACCACTAGTTGTTATAGTCCTGTTTTCTCTCGTTGTCAGAAAACTGTTCGATGACGTTTACTGCCAGTGAGGGTGAGATTACCAGTCCTGGCTACCCTGGCACCACTATCAGCTACCTTTACTGCACATATGCCATCATGGGTAATGGGCAGAACCAGAGCATCGCCATAGACCTAATCAAGCTGGACCTGGAAGCTACTTCCGACTGTTCCAACGACTGGCTCGTTATAGATGATGGTCTTAAACTGTGCTACCACACAACGTTCCGTAAAACATGTAAGAACTGAATCCGCCTGAAACGACAAACAAGAAAGAGAGTGTACATGTAACGACATGTGTGACATGTCTGTGTGTTTTAAATGCGTAATCCGTATGTGTGGTCCGTCAGCGTTGTACGTCCGTGTGATTTGTCTGACCGTTTGTGTGATACACTGTGTGAATCGTTCATGTGACAGGTGCATATGATACCTGTGTGGAGTACGACCATGTGGTCCGGCAGTACGATACGTCTATATGATCCATCTGTGTGGTACGTCCATGTGATCCGTCTTCGTCGTGCGTCAATGTGATCCATATGTGTGATACGTCAATGTGATCCGTCTATATGATACATCTGTATCATCTGTTTATGTCATACGTATGTGTGATCCGTCTGTCTGATCATTCAGTGTACAGTGTATTCTGTATGTGAGTTACGTCTGTGTGATTACATTTAGTCCTCGAATGACACGTGCGAAAAGACATCGAAGACAACTTGTTTATTGTACAAAGACGAGGGGAAGATTTCACTTCTAGTTCTTTGGCTTCAAGCAAACGTCTATCCAACTTCAAGTAAGAGCCTCGACTCTTTACCAATATATTATTCTATTTATCACCATCAACGATCATCATAGCAACTTTTTTGTTTCAGATGTCTTCCGGGATAGATTCATCATCAAGTTTAGAACTGATTACAGAAGGCCTAGTTATGGGTTTAAGATGCATTACTCCATTGGCGTGGACGCACACGGTACACAATGTCATTACCTTAATATTGGGGCAGTATTGGGGTAGTTGCTAGATGGCTGATCTGCTGTCTGATTAGATGGTTAAGGTTTTGTGCTCTTTGATTCTGGTTTGATGGGGAGGGATGTTTTACCTACGTAGGATTGTCCACAGTTGCACTAAACTACACCTTTAGGCTCTTGAGGTTTAGTAAATTTTCTGCCGTTGGCTCTCAGTAGGGTACTGAGGGAGGTGGACCTGGTTTAGAAGGTGTTAATATTGGCTTGCTGTTTGAGGAGGCGCCGCCTGATGATGTGGGAGGCTCTTCCTGTGAATGGGAGGGCGATGTGTAAGGGTGCTGATTCGGCTTTAGGGGTCGCTGATCTGGGTGTGGGATTTGACTTTGTCGTCGAGATTGAGTGGATAATTGTTCCTCATTCAGTCCTGCTTGACAACGGTATAAGGATCTATACCGAAACGTCGCCTTTACAGTATTATAGAAGTTGTTATCCATAAACTGTGTCTACTTTGTCATCCGTCAACTTCTAATTGAGTTGGGGATTGTTGATCCCCGATCCCCATATTGAGACGATTAGCATAGATTTAACCCCATTATGTTTGCAGACAACTGCACTTCCATCCACTTTAAGACATCCGGACAGATATCGACGCCATGTTACTCCTGCAACTGCACCTACAACCACTGCACCAACACCATCATAGGCAGTGGGAAGTTGCAAACACTAACCCTGGACTTCGTCGCTCTCAACTACACGACCAGCGCTAACTGTGATCTCGGATGGTTTACCATAGATGGCGGACCTAAAATATGCGCTTCAAAGCCCTTTCAAACAATCTGTAAGCTGAAACACGGATGCTGTCTGTAGATTTTCTGACAAATTAATCTAAGTTGCTTTCTTTCCATAACTTCAGGGTGTCTGTTGCAACGAATCACCTCAACTGAAACTGTGACTTATTGTTATTAGAAATGTTGGTGGTTTAAATAATATTTTATTTTAAAAAACGAAAACTGGATTGATCAATTGGCAAAATGACCATTTAAGAAATCTCCGACGCAAGCATTTATCAGATGACGGTGAACATCTTTAGTAAGCTCTGTAAATTGATGTGATGTTTACTGGATCACAAACTTTCAATTTCACAGACAATTTCACAATGTATGAGTGCATATGTGAACAGACATGGCTGCAGATCATTTAGTATTCTTTAGAAAATGGGGTAGTTCACTCAGGTTTTACATTCCTACCCGATTTCTAAACTTACTATTAATGAAAAGCAATATGGCTTAATTTCGTTTATTTTCCGAACAACATTACATAATAAAGAGAGTATAACTCCATATGGGGTTCCATATCGAAAAATATAAAATATGTGGAATAAAATAATAAGATTATTGTCAGTAAAGGATATTTACGATATACAGTTGTAAATACAATACAAAAAGTTAACATCCTGCCGTCGCATGACTTGAGTACTGCTGTGCAGTCGAACACATGTTTTTTTATGCAAATTGTGTGAGTGGCAGGTGCTACTAGTAGGGCAGGACATGCTTAGTCTTTTTGCAAATACCTGATTCATTCACATAACTTTTATTGCCATTTTACCTTTTACGCTCCTTTGAATCTGTCTGACAATGGTTACTCTCTGGTTTTTAATTTATTTGTAATGATAAAATAATCATGGAAGGCGTTTTGTTTAAGAACATTTTGTGAAATGTACACACTTAATCTCTTTGGTGATGAGCACAAAGAAATGAATAGCCCATATCATGAAATATTATATTTGTTTGCCACTGACCATCACTCGGCAAATTTAATCTAAGAGTTTTATAGACATTAACAGAGTTTTAATTGATAACTGTATAGATGTTATTTATAAAAAGTCTAACATTGAAATTACTTTTCTCTATCCCAAAAATATAATAAATGTACATTCTTCGGCCAAATCCAACTGTTTTAAAGTAGGGGAAAGACCCTAAAGCCGCAAAGATACACATGCACATGTATGGAAACTAATCCTGCTACGGTATGTCCTTGCTAAATTGATTTCTTCAAAGTAGCCATAACTTGGAATATGCCTTAACTACGTCCTGTATAACAGTTATTCAAATAATTATGGTAAATTCTGACTCGATCGCTAATACAAAAGTGCGGCATCATGTTTGCAAACACTGAAAGTAGTACCCCTGACCTTTTTCATGTATATGTTCATCATCAACTAAAAGGATTCTGTTTTCCTCAGTCTCCAATCTAACCCATTAAATGATAACTATCATTAATGAATACTAAAAATACCACAAATGGTCAAAAGCCTTAGGCTTCACGCACTCCCGCGAGCACAGATTTTATAAGAGACGTATAACTGTATTTTACAGTATACTGTTATAATTTTTTAGATACACCATTTCAAAAGAGAGGCCAACTTTATCTAATTCCAGGTGCAATTAAAATTAACCAAAATTTGTCTTGTTTCAGATGCACTTTTTGGCAGTGTAGATATCGTGACCCATGGTGGAGATCGATCATTGGACTCCTGTGCAGGCTTTGTTGTCAACTACATTGTTGAAGGTAATGTTTGTTTGTGTTTCACATTCATTCTTCTGATAGAACTGAACATTGAATAACAATATCAAGGTTAGACAAGGGAGATGATAAGGCAAGGAATGAAGTGAACAACTTCTGGACATTTTTATGTGCATATGGACTACCACTAATGATAAAGTAGTGTCAGTTGAAAAGTAAACAACCTGAACACTAAATACCAGAGTAACTCTAGCTCTTAATGTCATAATAGTCAATATTGATACGCAATAAGGGGTGGACTATTTCATATGTGACGTTGATTAAACCAACACAGCTCTTGAGTGTGAAATACAAAACCTCCTTCCGCCTCCATTTGCTTGTCAAATAATGTTCAGACTCAATAAAATCTTATTTGTAATAACGGAATTCTCATCAATACATAGTACTTCGTGAGCATAGCATACATAGAGACATGAGCATGTGAGACTGTATGCCTTGAGACGTTTATATTTTTTAATAATCAATACAAATCTTCTATTTCAAGAGGTCATATCATGCAGGTCACTGTTTTGTATCCTTGGGCAGGGTTATTGACTCCACATGTCCTGCTGTGACATGGCTGAATCAGTTGTTGACTGTGATGTGGAATGCCCATTAAATATTATTCATCCTTACATGGAAACAAGTATAACATAAACATATATGCGAAAACGTGAATCAGAACAAAAATGAAAGTATGGTGTTTATTTTGGAGGTTGGCGACAAATGCTCAGCAATCAGTCAACCATCACGATTGAAATAAGCACATGAAACTCCCTATAATCATTCAGAACGTCATACTTGATGGAATCGTCTATCTCCCGTGAACATGTCTCTTTGTCAGTTTACCGGCTCTTCCAGCACTGCAGTATTTGAACCTATCGATTTCGGTGTTCCAGTGTCAGTGTTATAACTATGGTGGTCTGTAAGCTCTGATAGTATACTGACGCAGTCTGCTGGACACTGTCTTGGTGACAAGAGGTCTGCCATCGCTAGGCCTGTCTGACTTCCGCCCTGTCTGCCTGTAACATGGCATGCACATGGCGATTGTCATTCGGCTACAGCTCAACCCCTTGCAACGTTGACACGTGTTGCTCCTTGATGTATCACAACAACGGCTTGCAATCTAGGCATCTTACGTATGTCTGGATACTGTAGCACGTACATTACTCGGTAAATTGTTTTGTTTGGGTTTGGTTTCAACCATTTCGTTACACTATTAGGAGTTTGACCCAACATGTCCAAAGTTTAGTTTATGCTATTTATGTCCATCATCCATGATCTTAGTAATTGAAAAGTACATGCACATTCCTCCAGGAGTTGTGAGTACAAAAATGTCAAGTTGACCAGTTTCTTGTCAATTTGTAGAAAACTGCACACTGGGATGTTGCTACAAATGGTCTTTTATTGTTTAACACTTCTTCATCATACTGATATTTTCATTATTTTGGTTTAAAATCACCTACATCTGTTAAGTTGTTATATTTTAGGAACCGTGAGAAAAATATAACCGTCTTTCCATAGGTTTAGTTTGAAATGTGACGCAAGAACATCTCATCTTTATTTTATTTTGGACAAAAAAACAATCTCAGAACAAAAATGAAGAAAAAATGACTCCATGAAAACATTGTGGCCAAAACAATATCAGATATCTGAATGGATGCGAAGAAAGCAAATGCCTCAGCTTTCAGTGAAGATACAAACATAAACACTAAGATTCGAACCATACTTTATCTGAAAGAGTGACCTGAACTCTTCCGGTGAAGAAGAACAAATTCACCTGTATATGTACATTATCGACGATTCGCGAGCGTAGATGAGAAAACGTAAAGCTTTATGGGTAACACCTTCTGAAGCCTTGCTTTATGACCTGTGTGCTATTTGTCATTTTTACTGCACATTTGGCTTCATCCAATTATCTATATACTATTTGTTATCGATTACCTGTTGTCAATATTAATCTGCTTCTTATCACACCATATCATACATATACACCTCTCATTGGTTGTTGTCACTTCAGCTGGATAACGGTGTAAAAATCTACATTGAAACGTCGAATATATTAATGAATGTATGCTATAAACCTGAAGTCATTATCCATAAAGTTGTATGTTTTCTTACTTACTCACAAACTTCTAGAATGCCAATCAAACAGTCAGTGCAGGTGTAGTTTGTTGAGAAATTCGTGTATAAATATCAATTATAGCGTTTTGGGGTTCATTATTGGTACTGTTTAGAAGTGAAAACAGTTACGATGTTGAAAAGAAAATGAGATATAATAGAAATAAAAGATGCATATGAGGATACAAGTTCTTCTTTTGAATTGGAGACTCGTAATCATCCGTGGAGAATAGGCTTTGAGTAAAAGGCGAATATGCTTGTCGTATGAGGCGACTAACGGGATCGGGTGGTCAAGCTTGCTGACTTGTTTGATGCATGCCATCGTATCCTAATTGCGTGAATCAATGCGCATGATATCAATAATTGGATTGTCTGATCCAGAATCGATTATTTACAGACCGCCGTCATATAGCTGGAATATTGCCGAGTGCGGCGTTAAACAACAAACAAAACAAGTCTTTAAAATTGGAAGAAAAGTCAAACACATACAAATATGTTGGCAGTACGATTGCTTTAAGATTGGTTCACTGTGGTAAAAACTACGAAAGTCTAATGGTGCCACTTTCGTAGTATATAGTTTTCAAATAAACAATTCTCTTTATTTAAAAAAAAAAATTCGTAATATCGAGTTTTTTCTCTTAATTTTTATTGCTCAGACCATAAGCGGTTATTGTCCTGTTTTCTCTCATTGTCAGAAAACTGTTCGATGACGTTTACCGCCAATGAGGGGGAGATTACCAGTCCTGGCTACCCTGGCACCCGCACCAACTACTTTTACTGCACGTATGTCATCATGGGTAATGGGCAGAACCAGACCATCGCCATAGACCTCATCAAGCTGGACCTGCTAGACACTTCCGACTGTTTCTTTGACTGGCTTGTAATAGACGATGGTCGTAAACTGTGCCAGCACACAACGTTCCATAAGACATGTAAGCATTCAATCGATCCGTTTGTGTGATATGTCTGTGCGATCCTTGTGTGTGTTGGTAAATATATCGAAGATGACTTGTTTATTTTACAAAGGCGAGAGTCAGCTTTCTTTACTGTTTGCTTTAAAGAAATGTCTATCCAACTTGAAGTAAGAGCCTCTTTACCAATGTAATATTCTATTGATCATGAAACTCCATAACAACGGGTTTTTTTGTTTCAGATGTCTTCCGGGATAGATTCATCATCACGTTTAGAACTGATTACAGAAGGCCTAGTTATGGGTTTAAGATGCATTACTCTGTTGGCGTGGACGCACACGGTACATTATGTCATAACGTTAATATGCATTATTGATTAGTAATAATCATTTATCGCCTTTCCCGTTCTCTAACAATTACAGGTATTTCATTTACATACTTTTAATACATCAAACCATAAAAAATAACTGGCAGTTTATATGTAACCAGATTATGTCAACCTGCTAAATGTGTATATGTACAATCTACGATTTTGCTTTTTGTAACTCACTAGATCTATTGGATGGTTACTAAAGCAAACAAGATTTATTCATTACGGCCAAAAAAATATTAAAGAAGGTTTGTCTGTCCAGAATGATTACTAAAGCAAACAAGATTTATTCATTACGGCCAAAAAAATATTAAAGAAGGTTGTCTGTCCAGAATGATGGGTCTACAATTTGTGGAAACGTAGTTTCCGGAGAAAGCAAACGCCTAGGCTTCCTGTGATGGTACCAACCTAAATACAAAAGTCAAATTTGATTCTATTATATCCGAACAAATGACATTGACCTTAACTCTTTCAACACCGTAGGCCGGAGCACCGGTCAAGAAGCCTCGAGTCCCCAGACACCGTGGCCGGTAGACCGGCCAAGCTGTATCACGTCAAAATAGTATATAATTTAATAAACCTACCTGTCATATCATTCATTTTCAAGTCTACCACATTTCACAATGTCTGAAATACGTATTCAATTTCAATTTTTAATTTTGTATCGATAAATTTTAAAACTATTCACTATTTCCCACAATGTTGTTTAAAAATAAAATTTTCAGACACACACTTCGACAACAGGTCCACATCGAACATGTCAAAGAGCAAAGTAAAGACGTTTTAAACAAATCTTTAAATATATTATTCAAAGTAATAAATCATCTAATACATCTAAAAGATGTCAAACTTACATCTAAGTTATTATTTCGTGCGATCGCGTGTACTGTAAGTCAAATGATTTATGCATTAAAAATATTTCTCACAGCTTGTTACCTAGCACGATACATCTACGAAGTTTTTAATTTTTTAATTTAGATCGCGATTTCCTGCTTAAAACGTTCGGAATATAACGATCCATCAAAGTCTGAAATTCATCCTACACGAGGACGGTACCATAGCTGTAATTTTATTGGCTGCCTTAGGTCACGGGCCCAAATTTGACCAATCACGAACCTTGTAGCAGATTTCGGCAAGAAAGTGTCATTAGAAACCAATTGTTATCCAAAACAATCGCATGTGACAGTTACGAAAAGCCTCCAGGCGATGTTACGCCCGTTCAGATGAAAAAAACAAGATTTCTAGCGATGTGTCATATGTCAGTCCTCGACGAACGTGTTATTTATACGAATCTTCTAATACGGAGGTATTACTTCATGTTACTGAGCGGACAGCTGCTGTTATCGGGAAATGGGTGATGACAGATGATATTTATAATTATATTTAAAATATTTTTCCAATGACGTAAATAATGAAAAGAAATAGGTAAGTGGTTTTTTTTAAATCTTATATTTGCGAAAATCGTCAAATCGTCGCTTCGTTGGTCCTTAATCTTAGACTTAAGAATGTGTTAGCTTACATTTGTTTATTTACAACGAAGTTAATTAAGTTGCAAATACATTATTCAAATAATGTGACAACCCTAACTTTCATATTTATAAACAATAGGATTAGACGTTTCAAATGGTGTGTATCATGTTGTAGCAAAGATGCTTTACAAGCAGATATTTTCTTTGATAAGTGTTAGCTTCATCTTTCACACAAGAGTCTCTAGGAACTCTGTGTCACAGCAGTAAATGCTTTTGGGTGACTGGTTTTGAAAGAGTTAATGCTGAATGTTGAAGAACAAATAAAAGCGACAAATCCTTTCCATATTCATCAGAAATCTCTGCCGAAAGTGGATATCATGGAAACATAAGATACATATTTGGTGACAAGTTCCTCTTTCGAACTGGAAGAACAATTAAATACATGCAAATATGTTAGAGGTTGACACTACGACTGCTATTAGATTAAATCACTATCATAATCAGCTGTAGTCGGCCCTGGCGGTTGTCTAACATGTATGACGATTATGAAAACTTATTATTATTACTTCAAACATTGTCATCTTCTCCATTGCAATCGTACGTTCGTCTTTCACATTGTCTGTAATTACGTGGGATTGTGGATTGTGGAATTTGAGAATGAAAGACGACTGACATATATCAAACTCCCATGTTGCAGACAGCTGTACTGCCATCCTCTTACAGACATCTGGACAGATATCGACGCCATGTTACTCCTGCAACTGCACCTACAACAACTACACCAACACCATCATAGGCAGTGGGAAGTTGCAATCACTTACCCTTGACTTCGTCTCTCTCAACTACACGACCAGCCCTAACTGTGATCTCGGATGGTTTACCATAGATGGAGGTCCTAAAATATGCACTTCAACCCCCTTTCAAAATATCTGTAAGCTGAAACACTAATGCTGTCTGTATAATTTTCTGAAAAATTAATCTATGTTGACCTCTTTCCATAACTTCAGGGTTGACTGTTGAAACGAATCAACTCAACTGAAACTGTGACTAAAATGTTTTTGCGATGCTAGTGGTTTAAACAATATTTTATTTTCAATAATGAAAACTGGATTGGGCAATAGACAAATGTCTATTTTAAGAATTCTCCGACGCAAGTATTTATCAAATGATGGTGAACAAATTCAGTAAGCTCTTTAAATTGATGTGGTGTAGGCTCATAAACTTTTGTATAATATTACTTCAGTGATGGTTCCATGATGGTTACTTATATTAATAGCCAATATTAATAGACTATATCTTAAATGGGTCTGTTGACTCAGGCTTTACGTTACCGCGCGGTTTCTAAAGTTACTCTAGTGAAAAGCAGTATGTTCGTTACATTCCGTATAACATTACATGATAAAGGGATTATTACTCCCATATTCTTCCATATCGAAAAATATAATATATTGTATTCTCAATAGAGGATGTTGTAAGTACAATACAAAAATCGATTTTGTACAACGAGGCACTGCTTTGTTTACATGCTGCCGTCACATGACACATGCTTTTCATGCAAATTGTGTGAGTTGCAGCTGCTACTATAAGGGCAGGACATGCTAACCCTTTCCGCTAACACCTGGTGTCATCATTGATTTCCAGTGATCCATTCCCAAAATTTCTGCCATTTTACCTTTAATGCCGAATGAGTTCAGTCTCACAATCGACTGGTTACTATCTTGCAATTGCATTGACGTTTTATGTTTATTTTGTGATGTTAAAATAATCATGGACAGATTCAATTATCTTTCAAGTTCAAAAATATTAATGACAGATCATTACTGTATTGATATCAAATCATGGGCTTCATTTAATGTAAGTAAAAGTTGAACACTGGAATACATAATGAAGCCAAGTTGAATAAAACGATCACATTTGTGACCATTAAGGTCAATGCAACTTAGTTTACAATGAATAATCTGGTCAAATTTTGTTCCATATGTTCTTGTTCCACTGCGTACTTATTCCGTTCTTATTATCAAAAGTTAAAAACAGACAAAAAGTATATGCAGTTAGAGACGTATCGCCAATGTCATTAAATATGTACATGTAACAATGCTGAAATGAAAGAGCCATACAATGTTTGGAGACAGTCGATCTTATAAGTGTTTTGGAAGATCTTGTGTCACGGGTGAAATGGCATATACATTTGTTTTAGTTACACCTGTTAGATATGTAGGCGTTGTTTTTAAGAGCATTTTTGTGAAATAAACACACATTGTCTTTTTGGTGACGAGCACGTAGAAATGAATAGCCTGTGTCATTAAATATACTCAACAACAAAAGTTCCTGTGACACCAATATGTTAGTGTATTTTTCAAACAAGTAAAGTTTGGTTTTCAATATTGTAGTCCTTGTATGGAATCAAGTCACAAAAACGCAACTGCTACAGAAAAGCATGCATTCGAAAAGTTGACTTTTATGCAAGCCCCGTGCATGTCACTACCCAGGAATGGGTATAAAAACATGTGCGTTCACGGGAACAACCACTCAGAAAAACAACACAATTACACAATTATTCAACATTACGAAATGCTAAGCCTGTCCGAAAATGAGCGTCTGCGAGCCATTGGTATGCTTGAAGCAGGATCGAGTCAACGTGATGTTGCAAGACTCCAGGATTCCAGCCAGCAACAGGGACTGCAAGAAGCATCCCTGCCCTTCGACGACTATCTTCACAAACCGTACGTCGCCGCCTCAGATGTGCAGGGATCCCATTTTGACAAGAAACCACCGTCAAGCACGTCCAAAGTGGGGCAGACAGCGTATACGCTGGACGGCCATGCAGTGGGGTCAAGTTCTATTCACTGAGGAGTCTCGATTTCACCTCAGCCACAGCGATGGACGGATTCGAGTGTACCGAAGTCGAGGTGAACGTTACGTCAATCATTGTGTCATGGAAGAAGAACGGTTCGGGGGCGGCAGCGTTAGGGTATTGGGTGGTACTACAGCAAGACAGGACCTGTTTGATAGTGGTAGAGGGAAATCTCAATGGACAGCGCTACCGCGACGAGTTCATCGGCCCTGTTGTTCTACCGTTTTTGCGTCGTCATGGCCCAGGCATTACCTTTCAACATGACAACGCCCGGCCTCATATTTCTCGACTTGTTCAGGAATCTCTTCAACAAAACAACGTGAGTGTCATCCCCTGGCCGGTTCGCTCCCCTGATTTCTCACCAATCGAGCAAATGTGGGATGAGATGGATCGGCGCCTTCGACGTCAACCACGTGTTCCAGACACTCCAGGATCTTCGAAACATGCTCCAGCAGATATGGACAGATATCCCACAGGACTTTGTGCGACGCCTTGTCCATTCCAAGAGACGAAGATGTGTTGCTTGCATCGCAACCAGAGGTGGACACACACGCTATTGATTTGTAAATTGACATTTTGGCATGTTCATGTTTTTTTATGAAATCGCGCCTTTTCTGTAGTCAGTATGGCAAAATAAACCATTTGAACACTTACAGGAGTCTTTTATCTGTAGCAAACCGAAATTGTTTCAGATTTGGTAAAAAAAACATAACTTTGCCTTAAATTTTTATTTGATGTCACAGGAACTTTTGTTGTTCAGTATATTATATTCGTTTGCCACTGACCATCACTCGGCAAAGTTAATCTAAGAGTTTTAAACACATCAACTGATTCCATCATAATTTTATTCATAAACAGGTCTAACATTGGAGTTACTGTATTCTTTCAAGAACAAGAATTTTATTTTATTTTTCAACTCCAACCTTTTTTATGTAGGGGAAAGACCCTCAAGCTGCGATGGTCAACATGCACATGTATGAAAACTGATCCTGCTTCTGTGCGTGTGTCCTTGATAAATTAATATCTTTAAAGTAGCCATAACTTGTAAAATGTCTCAGCAAAGCCCCTATTAAACACTGATTTTCGATATCTTAGACTATTACTTGAAAATGATAAGGTATTCGAGAAGTTATTAATAATTCTGACTCTCTCGCTGATACACCAGAGCAGCACCATGTTGTTTGCAAAGGCTGAAAGTAGTACCTTCCTGGCCATTTATATGTTCATCTTCAATGTCATATAAATGATTGTTTTCCTCCGTTGCCTTTATCACTTCGTCAAACTTACCCATTATATGATAACTATCATTAATGAATGCTAAAAAATACCACCAATGGCCCATAACCGTAGCCTTCAGGGACTCCGACGAGCACAGATTTTATAAGAAATGTATAACTGTATTTTACAGTTTACATGTTTAATTTTTTTAAGTAGCTTTCAAAACACTTCAAAGGAGGTCCGCCGTCCCACGAAAACGTAATATAAGTATATTACCTTTGTGCCCAACTCTATCAAATTCCAGGTGCAATTAAAATTAACAAAACTTTGTCTTGTTTTTAGATGCATTTTTTGGCAGTGTCGATATTGTGACCCATGGAGGAGATGGACCTGGAAACTCTTGTGCTGGCTTTGTTGTCAACTACGTTGTTCAAGGTACATTTTGTGTTCTTGTTTTCAAATACATACTTCCAGAAAGAACTGAACATTGAATAGCAATATCAAGCTTAGTTAAGGGAGATGATAAGGCTTGGAGTGAAGTGAACAACTCCTGAACATGTTTGTGTGCATATGGACTGCCACTAAATGATAAAGTAGTGTTAGTTGATTGGGAAACAACATGACCAGTAAATACAAAAGTAACTCTTGCCCTTTAACGTATCACTACTGATTTGTAATACGGGATGGACCGTTTCATGTATGGGATTGGTTAAAACAACACTGCTGATAAGTGGGCAACGTATACAGAGATAATACAGCGTATTTCGTGAGCAAAGTCCTACTATTTGACATAGAGACATGAGTATTGAAACAGTATGCCTGTAAAATTAATCTTTTAATAATCATTTCAAATCTTCTACTTCAAGAGGCCATATCATGCAAGTCACTGTTTTGTATCCTTGGGCAGGGTTATTGACTCCACATGTCCTGCTGTGAGATGGCTGAATCAGTTGTTGACTGTGATGTAGAATTCCCATTAAGTATAATTCATTCATACTTGGAAACATAAACATATACATAATTATACTGACGTGCAAAAGAAATTTCACCAGTCATCATTGTTTGTTTCTAAACGTAAAACAGGACCAATATCAAGGAAGATACCTGTATTGTCAAAATACATCTGATAACAGTGTCATTACAAGTTATGCCGTGAATGAGACCAAAAGTGATAGTATTGTATCAACAGTGTGGAGGATGGAGGCAGTTGTTCGGTAATCGATGAACCATCATGACTGAAATCAGCACATGAAACTCCCTTTAATCCTTCAGAATGCCCCACGTGTCAGTCAGTGCCGTGTGTGCCCACTAAGATAACCAATGCACACCGAAACTCACAGAAGATTAAGACGTCTAATCAGCAGAAATGGAATTCTTCTCAAAGGGCCTGTGCTCACTGATACTTGTGAAACGGGCGTCCTGTTTGTGCTCTGATTTGAACGTAAAGGTGATCCCACAAGTTTCAAAAGGTGGCCAGTCTCGTGTTTGTGCTGGCCAAAGGAAGATGTTTTCGGGGGCCTTGCCTTATCTTGTTGAAACAGGGTTCGGGGATTCTTTTCTAGTACAGTAGGTACAACAGGGTAGAGAGACTGGTTAATGTAACGCTGGCCAGTGATGTGTCCTTCCAAAATCAACAGATCTGTCTCATCTTGGCAACAGATGCTACATTGACTTGGCAAATGATGCTGCCCCAAACCATAACCACTCTAAGCTGTTAGACGTCTTAAAAACGACAACGGGACGTTCATTCTCATCGTCCACGTAAAAAAAAAAATTCTTTCATTTGCTCTGAAAGAAGAAATCTCCTGTGAACATCACTTTTTGCCAGTTTCTGTACTACCAGCCTTACACTGTTAGAACCCATCGATGTCTGTGTTCGGGTGCCAGCCTTTCATCTCGAAGTGGTCTGTAAGCTCTGCTATTGTAATGACGCATTCCTCTTTCCTGGCTGATGGTGACAGGTGTCTGCCTGTAACAAGCCATGCTCTTGGTGGTGTCATTCTGCTACAGCCCAAACTCCTTGCAACGTGATCATGCGTTGCTGCTTGATGTGTCATACTAACAGCTTGTTCTCGCTGTTGTATCATCTTAGCATGTTATTTGTCACTGTCCAAAGGTTTGAATGTTACTGAGAAAATAATATGTTAAACGCTGGACATGCTCATTGATAACATTTGTGTAATATTTTGGGGTAAGACATTTAGGCAAGAGGCAGGCATCCCCACTGGCACAAATTGGCCAATAAGTTAAACTTAAGTTTCAGGTATATCGATGATTTGATATCGTTTAATGACAATCAAATAGCCAATTCCAATCCACCGATATACTAACCGAACCTGAAATAAGGGAGACCAGTGAGACCGCCTCATCTGTTTCATATTTAGATTTGTTCATGAAGATTCAGATTGACAAAACACTCTCTATTGTTGTATGACAAGAAGGATGACTTCAACTTTCCATAAGTCAAATTCCCTTTATGTCGAGCAATACTGCTGCAGCCTGGTGTCTACATTTCAAAACATATAAGGTATAATCGTACATACTCTTTCTACCAAGATTTCAAATCAACATCATACGACTCTTTGTCAGAAACTGTTTAATCCAGTTTACAACATTCTAAACCTCAGTAAAGTTTTCAAAACGTTATGGCAGATATGTGGAGGACATTTCCAAATTTGAAGCATCAATGGCAGCGCCCTATTATGACTTGTTCCATATGTTCCCGTGTTGTTGTTTTTCGGTTGAAGAATTGATTTACCTTTGCATGTGTTTGTGAAGGGTGCTCCTGGTGGGGAAGGAGACGCACAACTTTTCGCGAACACCTGCAATCATCACTATTTGATAGTGATTCATAAATACATGAGATAATCAGAATCGTACAATCGCCTCTGCTCCTGGCAGACATGAATATGGAAAGGGTTTTTATCTATATACTCATTTCTTTGTAGGTTGGCATGCTGCAAGTGCAGCAAAGCTATCACTTTAAACTCAAGTTCCACTGATCTGGGTACTCATGTACCCAGATCAATGCAAGCTGTGGTTGTTATGTTTGGGCGATTGATTCTAAATAACACTGTTCGGAGTTTTGACCCAAGATGTCCAAATTTTAATTTGGTAACGTTTCGTTTGTTCGTCAGTCATACATTTTATGTCTATCATCAACAATCTTGAAAAATGCATTCCTCCAGAAGTTGAGGGGACAAACATGTCAAGTTGTCCCGTTTACAGTGAGGCAATGTTAACAGTATTTCCATTGGTTTGGTTGAAAATGTGAAAGAAGATCTCACCCCTCTTGCCTTTGTAGAATCATAGTCCATGTTTATGCTTATGAATTCTATCAAATGAGAAAGGACCATGCAATGTTATCACTGTTATAAAAATATAAATTGAACTTCACACTGGGCTTTTGCTCAGATGGTGTTTCAACAAATGGTCTTTTATTATGTGTTCTTTTACTGCACTCACCCCCACCCCTAAATATCAAATGGTCCACCCCAGTTCATTTGTCGTCTTTTCTGCTTTTCATAACAATCAGAAGGATTTTATTCAACATATTTATGACATAATATTCATTATGTATTCTATCAAATGAAAGAGGACCATGCAATGATGCCAATGTTTTAAAAATAGATCTACTCTGTGCTTAATGGCCCTAGTTATCTGGTACTGACTAATCCCCATTCCATTGTATATGTGGTTAACAGATTGAGTATGAGAATAATGTTATCACATCATGGAAAATGAATGTCTCGCATAAATACCAATAGCCCATGTTGTATATGTCATAATTAGAAATCAACGCAAACAATCGTTGTGTTCTTAGCACGACGTCACGCCGAAAACCCTTGTTTGAATCCCGACATGGGTACAATGTGTGAAGCCCATTTCTGGTCTTCCCCGCCGTGATGTTGCTGGAATATTGCTAAAAGCGGCGTAAAACCAAACTCATTCACTTTTAACACAACTCATGTGTTGTTGTGAAGTTAAGATGATAGTGCATTTTGGTAATTCCTAATCTGATCACCGTCCGAAAAGGCTTAGACCAAAAGTGGTTATGGTCCTGTTTTCTCTCATTGTCAGATACCTGCTCGATAACGTTGACCGCCAGTGAGGGGGAGATAACCAGTCCTGGCTACCCTGGCATCCCCTTCAACGACCTCATCTGCACATATGTCATCGTGGGTGATGGGCAGAACCAGAGCATCACCATAGACGTGGTTGATCTGGATCTTTTCCCTTTTCCAGACTGTTTCATTTCATGGCTCATTATAAACGATGGTCCTAAAGTGTGCCAGAATACACAGTTCCACAAGACATGTGAGCATTGAATCTATCTGAAATGGCAAACAAAAAGAGAGTTACATGTAACACATGATCCGTTTGTATGATCCGTCTGTCTGAACGTCTGTGTGATCCACATGTGTGACCCGTCTATTTAACTAAACTGTGTAATCCGTATGTTCGCCCCGTCAACGTGACACGTGTGAGTGCGATATCGCTATGTTATCCGTTTGTGTGGCATGTGTGTGTGATCCGTCTGCCTAATACGTCTGTGTAGTGCGTCTGTTCGATATGTCTGTGTGATCCGTCTCTGTGATACGTATGTTTTATCCATCTGTATGATATTACTGTGTGATAGGTCTCTGTTATCCTTCTTTTTTATTTGTCCTTGTGATACGTCTTTGTTATCTGTATGTGAGTTACGTCTGCGATTTCTTTTACTCGTCGAATGACGTGTGAAAAGACGGCGATTTGTTAACTGTACTAAAACTGTACTGTACTAAAACAGCTTTAAGTCTTGTTCTTTTTTGTCTTCATCCAACTTGAGATACGAGCCTCAAATCTTCACCAATGTTATGTATTCTAACAATGGCGTTGATCTTACAACTCCAACAACGATCATCGCAGCACCGTTTTTGTTTCAGATGTCTTCCAGAATAGATTCATCATCAAATTTAGAAGTGATTACTCGGACTTTGGTAGAGGGTTTAAGCTGCATTACTCTGTTGGAGGGGAAGCACACGGTACACTATCTCATTCCCTTAGTAGGCATTACTGATTCGTAATAATCATGTATCGTCTTTTCTGTTCTTCATAACAATTATGAGTATTTCATGTACATACTTGTATAATACATGCAACCATATATCATGACTTGCAGCTTATATGTACCTAGATTATGTAAACCTGTCATATATGTATATGAACAATCTTTGACTTGTATTTAACTAATTCTGTTACTGACGCAAACATGAGCTGCAATTAAATAACAATGGCCAAAAAATATTAGAGAATGGTTCGTCTGTTCCGAATGATGAATCTACCGCTTGTGGATTCTGGTGGTATGCAAAGAAAGAAAACGCCTCGGCTTCCTATGTAGGGATCAATCTTTCGAGCAAAGCAAAATTTGAATCATCTACATCTGAAAGAGTGGCATTGAACTTAGAGAGGACACTGCAATGATATTTCTGTTTTTAAAATACATCGACTGCATGGCCCTGGTTCCGATAAAGAAGAGCAATCTCACTGGTACATTATCGATTTGTGAGTGTACGGATAGATTATTTTTATTTTTAACTAAATTCATGTGTCAGATATCTGCGTAGGAACTTAGAGCATTGTAGGGTTCAGCATTGATGGTAATGAGTCCGACTAGCAGTAGTGTTTGGTCGGAAGGAATACAGTTATGGAAACCTGAAACGAGAGTTAAGCTTTGTCATATAACAGAAATATAAGATACATATTTGGTCACAAGTTATTCATTTGAACTGGAGGAGCGATTAAAGACAAATATTTCAAAGGTTCAAAATCACAGTCCTTATTTATGAATATTTATTTTATCAAATGAGAGAGGACACTGCAATGATATTTCTGTTTTTAAAATACATCGACTACATGGCCCTGGTTATCCCCTTCAGTCTGGTACTTACTTATTCCCATTCCATTGTCTACATAATCAGAGTGAAAATGAAATGCATCTTTTACACAAATATAACTGCTCTGACTTTTATACATGTATGTCACAACTATAACTCAATGAAAACAAATCATATGTTGCTGTGAGGTTAAGATGATAATGCATTTTGGTAATACGTTATGTAATAATTCGTTTTTTCTCAGACCACTAGTTGTTAAAGTCCTGTTTTCTCTCATTGTCAGAAAACTGTTCGATGACGTTTACCGCCAGTGAGGGTGAGATTACCAGTCCTGGCTACCCTGGCACCACTATCAGCTACCTTTACTGCACATATGTCATCATGGGTAATGAGCAGAACCAGAGCATTGCCATAGACCTAATCAAGCTGGACCTGGAAGCTACTTCCGACTGTTCCAACGACTGGCTCGTTATAGATGATGGTCTTAAACTGTGCTACCACACAACGTTCCGTAAGACATGTAAGTATTGAATCTGTCTGAAACGACAAAAAGAAAGGGAGTGTACATGTAACGACATGTATGACATGTCTGTGTGTTTTAAATGCGTAATCCGTATGTGTGGTCCGTCAGCGTTGTACGTCCGTGTGATTTGTCTGACCGTTTGTGTGATACACTGTGTGAATCGTTCATGTGACAGATGCATATGATACCTGTGTGGAGAACGACCATGTGGTCCGGCAGTACGATTCGTCTATATGATGCATCTGTGTGGTACGTCCATGTGATCCGTCTTCGTAGTACGTCAATGTGATCCATATGTGTGATACGTCAATGTGATCAGTCTATATGATACATCTGTATCATCTGTTTATGTGAAAGGTGTGTGTGATCCGTCTGTCTGATCATTCAGTGTGGGTGAGCGGAGTCTTTGCTTTCTGTATGTGAGTTACGTCTGTGTGATTACGTTTAGTCCTCGAATGACACGTGCGAAAAGACATCGAAGACAATTCGTTAATTGTACAAAGGCGAGTGGATGATTTCATTTCTAGTTCTTTTTTGCTTCAAGCAAACGTCTATCCAACTTCATGTAAGAGCCTCGACTCTTTACCAATATAATATTCTATTTATCACACAACTCCAAAACGATCATCATAGCAACGCTTTTGTTTCAGATGTCTTCCGGGATAGATTCATCATCAAGTTTAGAACTCAGTTCAGAAGGCCTAGTAGAGTGTTTAAGATGCATTACTCTGTTGGCGTGGACGCACACGGTACACAATTTCATTACATTAATAGGCAGTATTGGGGCAGTTGCTGATGTGGTCCGAGATGGCTAATTTACTGTCTGATTCAATGTTTGAGGTTTTGTGCTCTTTGATTCTGGTATTGATGGGGCGGGATATTTTACCTACGTAGGATTGTCCACAGTTGCACTAAACTACACCTTTAGGCTCTTGAGGTTTGGTTGATTTTCTGCCGTTGGGTCTGAGTAGGGTACTAAGGGAGGTGGACCTGGTGTAGTAGGTGTTAATATTGGCTTGCTGTTTGAGGAGGCGCCGCCTGATGATGTGGGAGGCTCTTCCTATGAATAGGAGGGTGATGCGAAAGGGTGCTGATTCGGCTTTAGGGGTCGCAGATCTTGTGTGGGATGGAGTATAGAGGACGTGACTTTGTTGTCGAGATTGAGTGGATAATTGTTCCTCATTCAGTCTTGCTTGACAAAGGTATACGGATCTATACCGAAACGTCGCCTTTACAGTATTAAAGAAGTTGTTATCCATAAATTGTGTCTACTTTGTCATCCGTCAACTTCTAAGTAATGCCTATCAAACAATTGAGTTGGGGATTGTTGACATAGAGAAAGAAAGACGATTGGCATAGATTTAACCCCATTATGTTTGCAGACAACTGCTCTTCCATCCACTTAAAGACATCTGGACATATATCGACGCCATGTTTCTCCTGCAACTGCACCTACAACAACTGCACCAACACCATCATAGGCAGTGGGAAGTTGCAAACACTTATCCTGGACTTCGTCTCTCTCAACTACGCGACCAGCCCTAACTGTGATCTCGGATGGTTTACCATAGATGGAGGTCCAAAAATATGCACTTCAAAGCCCTTTCAAACAATCTGTAAGTTGAAACACTGATGCTGTCTGTATAATTTTCTGACAAATTAAACTGTGTTGCTTTCTTTCTACAACTTCAGGGTGACAGTTGAAACGAATCAACTCAACTGAAAGTGTGTCTAGTTGTTCTTTGAGATGTCAGTGGTTTAAACAATCTTTGACTTTCAAAAACGAAAACTAGATTGATCAACAGGCAAACTGAGTATTATATAATTAAGACATCTCCAGTAGAAGCTTTATCAAACAATGGTGAACTCTTGGCAAATGTTGGAACATAATTTGTTAAGGGAACATGTTCAGCGATTGATTCGCCTAACGTATTTGAGATTTATCCGTTGGTATACGCTCACCTTCCTTAACATGGTGTCTCTATTATGTAGGACAGCTGAAAGTAAAACACACTATGTGGCACAATCGAATATATGCATATTGTATCGTACGTTCTTGTATATGTATATTCCGAGGCTAATACTTCAATAAGGTCAAACTAATCATGGATAGATTCAATTATTCTCAAATTCAATGTGTCTGATAAATGGAAATTACAAAATAATACACTATTTATATCAAAACCCTTAGTGTTTAAAAAACATGTTAATCATTTTAGTTAAAGATAATCAATAATGTAGCCACAACAAGTTAACTGCAATTCAGTTTAAGTTTACAATGAATTATCAGAGAAGCTCATGTTCCATATGTTCTCAATAAATTATGTACACTGATTATTGGTTACGTTTTCATCGTAATTATTTTTTTTAGAAAAAGATTGTTTGGAGGCTAATCTTCTGTAGTTGATATTTCATGGGACTCACTTTGGTAATGATACCATTGATATGCCTAACCGAACTTTATCAAATTTGAGGCGCAAAACAAATTTAAACCAAACTTGTCTTGTTTCAGATGCATTTTTTGGCAGTGTAGATATCGTGACCCATGGTGGAGATCGATCCGTAGGCTCTTGTGGTGGCTTTGTTGTCAACTACATTGTTGAAGGTAGAGTTTATGTGCTTTGTTTTATAAACATACTTCTTGTAAGAACTGAAAATTGAACTTCAAAATTAAGCTCGCTTAGGGGACATGACAAAGCTTGGATTGAAGTGACCAAAGTCGAGATGATACAAAATATCAACCACGAACAACTTTTTGACGTTTTTTGAACTGACCTTTGACTGACAATATCAAGCTTAGCTGAGGGACATAAGGCTGGAAGTAAAGTGAAAAAAAATCCAAAGTAAGTCTTGCCTTTATACGAAATACTTCCTATGTTTAATAACCATGGTTCATTACCTCAATGCTATCCTTTCAACATGTAAAGTACTTTAATCTAGCGTTCACTCTGTTGTTTCAGATGTGGACAACAATCTACTGACGTACACCACAAATAGCGGCCGGTTGACCGGTCCATTATTTCCTGGAGCAGGTTCATCAAATCCCGTTACCTATACCTATATCATCATTGGTCATTTTCCCCGACAGAGACTCATCTTAGACATCACGCTCAGGTCTTCCTATGGGGGATGTTACTTTGCAAAACTGACTCTAAATGGCACAGAGGATCTGTATGATGCTGGACGATATAGCAGGGCATGTAAGTTCTATAATCCCCTGTTTGTGCATGTAGTACACGTGTCGTTTGTGTACTGGGATATAAACCACACACGGCAGTGGCAGCAATATCACTCGACCACATCAGCCTGTGTTTGCATGTAGTACACGTGGCGTTTGTGTATTGTGATGTAAATGTAAGCCCCACACAGCAGTAGCAGCAATATCACTCGTCCACATCAGCCTGTGTGTGCATGTTGTGCACGTGTCGTTTGTGTATTGAGATATAATTTCATACTTTAAAGTTTACACTGTTTCTTTCTTGCTGATTGGCTGAATGGGTAGTCACGTGATCTGATATTTGGAGTTCATACATTTGTGAACGGACAGAAAAGTTCACACGATGTGAAATTTGTTTTGTGAAATTGATCATGTGAACTTTTGCCGAACTACTTTCCGGGGTTTCCCCAATTCTCGATAGGTATTTACAATCAACTCGTTTTTTTTATTTTTATTTTTCATCTCTGCATTTATCAGGAATATAATAACTTAGTATTTTTGCCTTGTCTTGTAACATTTTATCCGACTTAAAAACAAATACATGCTTGGTTCTGGTGTTTAATGTCGTCCAGCTGTTTGATGAAACAAAATGGATTGTCCTCACGATGATTTGGATATGGAATGGCTATCTTTCAATACTAATAACGCAAGTGAAGAATATAAATTCTGAAAACTGACTGGGGTGAACGAAATTGATTTATTGAGCGATATTGACTTTGATGCGTTTTTTTCGGTAATAACAGGAATCTAGCACCAATGAAAACAATGTCGTACCCTGCTCAGATGTGGCTGCTGACACAGATGAAAGCGACTGCTCCTGATCAATCCCAAACTTAAACCCGATTCACTATCTTATCGGGGAAAAAATCTAAGATTTTGAGAAACCATAAAACATAAAAAGGTGAGGAAAGAAACTTAAATTTTAAAAACAAAGACTTGCCTACCTGTTTTACCGATTGGTCATCGGAGACGAGAAAATATCCGTAGACGGAATTACTATTCCGGTTTCTGAGTTGGCCGACCTTCTCCGTGCATTCTAGGCCGAGAAGCGGCAGCACATGAGGAATGACGAGACACAGAATTGAAGCTGGCATCAGGTCATACCGTAGGTCCATGTCAGGTAGCAAGAAACACCAGCTAAGCAAAGTATTACAGCACACACGACAAATCCAAAACTCCAAATATAACACACCCTCACGTTGAAAATTAACACAAAACACACAAGTTCGAGAGCATTCCGTTCAATCTCCACCAGTCCATTCCATATTAATCGAACTTGTTTGCGATTATCCAAACACAAGCAACACATTCATAAATCGGCGATATTCCCAATTTGCTAGTGCCATGATAGGGTTCACGCGTCGGGATGTTTTCCATAACTGCTCCATAAATGTCAATAGCAGTAAGTATAAATTTCATCCTCATGCTCCCTTTCGAAAATGTACCTCTTTACAAACTTATGTGACGTCATATATAAATCCGCGCTTGAAGGTTGACCTCGCCTTGGTGCATCGAGGTTATGTTTATATTTTTGTTCACTTTCCTGTAACCTATTTTTAAGATTTGATTTATCCCAAATATAGGTTGACATATTTCTAGATTATGTTGTATATATTCAGAGAACTATTTGTTTTGCGTAACTGAGTATGAGTGGGGAAACGTTTGTGACCGAGAGCCGGCAAATACCGACAAAATAACATTGCTGCAATGTTCTTCGGCGAAACCAGAGGACTGTAAAGTACAAAGTATGAAATTATAAAAATTGAACGTCAGTTTGGAAGCTCGGAGGTTCACACAGTTTAACCAGTACTTTTAAATCGTTCACAATTCAATGAACCCATCCAAACTGACGTTCAGTTCTGAAATAAACCACACTCGGCAGTGGCAGCAATATCACTCCACCATACCAGCTTGTGTAACAGAGTACTTCGTGCGATCCCGACTGTATCATAGGTATGTGTTTATGAATCACTATCAAATAGTGATCATACCAGCTGTTCGCGGAGAGGTTAGCGTATCCTGCACCACCTTTGACACCCATCGGAGACACATGCAGAGACAAGTCAATTGTTCACCTGAAAAATACACAGGAACATATGGTCAAATTAAGGAACTGCATCGGATATAATGTTTGTCACTGATTTGTCAAAGTTTGAAAAGTCCTACTCCACGCGTCTACCATCATTTGAAAGTTTCAATGAGACCTTGAACTAAAAACCTTTTCAGTGGGGCAGATGAATTTGGATGACAGCTACCTCATGCAGAATGGGTTTCATCAAATTCTGTTTTCTCTTTTCGGCATTCACAAAATAATATTTTTCTAATCTTAAAACTTGTCTTGCTACCGATCATGACGGCGACATATCGACATGACTCCTTTCCTCTTTCAGATTTGTCAGAGAATAATTTCACTTTAGAGTTCACTCCCAATTATGACGCAAGTTTTCTCGTTCACTATGAGAAAGAAGACGTAATAAAAGGTAACACTTAAATCCTATTCCAGTAGTCAAAATGATCAGTAAATATTAGGTTCAGCTCAATAAAGTTTTATTTTTTATTCAAGAAAAAGATTGAAAAGATGTGATTACTTCTTCATTGACATTTGAGAATGTTTTTGTATGTTTTTAAACATTATTTTCTAGATATTCTAAGTCATAATATGCAATTCATTATGATGAATAAATGAATTAAGTAATTAATTGTTGAGGAATGAATGAATGAATGAATGAATGAATGAATGAATGAATGTTGTGGATTAGTAAGACAGGATACAGAGCACAACCAGCCCAAGGTAGGTGTTGATATAAACCGGGTGTCCATAGCAAAGATGTTGAGACGGCAGTCACCACAGAAGGTATATGTACATCTATATTTCAATATGTCCATATTTCTGTGCTAATGCTTTTCCACCCTTAACACCATTTCCTATGCAGATGTCAGATCTTTGTGATTAACGATCTCTTTGTAACTTTACGCATCTTCGTTCCTATTCACATCAGAGTTGTGCTTTGATGCTTATTGACGTTTTGTTTATATTTTGCTCGGAAACAGATGTTTTCTTGACTGATGTATGTCAACAGCCGAATAATTAATTTAGTTTTGTGACTTATTGCCTTCTTTTCCATGTTCTTACAAATCAAACACGTAAGTATGTTGTTATTATTCTATAGATCAAGAAATTATTTTTGTTTCTAATCACATAACCATGTAATAATGAAGACGTAAAACAATTTTATATCATTTTAATGACAATTGTACACCCTAGTACGTACTGCAGCTTTCAGATATATGATGTAGTAGAGAGTCTCACTTCTTAAATTCATATTACCGCGACTGTATTCCAATAACAATAGATAAAGCGAGACCTAGAGAGACTGTTGTTTCTCCAAAATGATATTTACCTGTATTATTATGATTTGCAAAGGGTTACTAAACATAAAATACACAATGCTGATACTACTCTACATCTGTGCACATTGTTTGTTGTCTAGCTTAGGTTCCTCTTGATGTGGATGCAAGATGTCAGACAAGGCCAGATACTGGAAAATTTGGTATTGACTATTTATAAAAAAGTATTCGTATCATTCAGTTTCATTCCTAAAAACACAAACTGATCACTTTCAAAGATGTTAACTATTGCTATAAAAAAAACACATTCCATCATATTTCAATAACATGCATTTGCGGAAAGCTGTCGAATTGATTACTTGACTATTGAAAGTTTTATCCATTCTGTTGAAATATTAGGTTTTATTTTAGAGAAGCTTCTGAGAGGTGTTCAACTGAAAAGTCAAGTAGGGAAAATACAGTTGGAGATAAATGTGTAAGTATGTATAATGTGTGGACAGTGTCGTCAGTCATAGATATATATTTTAAAAAGTTGAGCGAATGCATCAAATTTGAAAATGTCCTCCTTATGTCCACCATTAAACAGTTTGAAACTTTACTGAGGCCTTGTAAATTGTAACCTTGATAAAACAACGTTTGAGCTAGACCTGTATGACGCTCTTGAAAATCGTCAAAGAAAGTCTATGCTCGATTGTGTATCAAAAGTTTTGGAAAAGCCTATCCGTGAAGATATTCCAATTCATATGCATAAAGAAACAGATCAGCAAGAAGGGGAGCACGAATGGTGTTCTTTGGGGATGCCTACCACTTGCCTAAAAGTCATACTCCCAAATTTTACATTACTGTTAACAATGAGGTAGTTCATCATTTCACATATTTTCTACTCATGGGACTTCAGATGATATATGCTTTTATTTTTAACAATAGCCCTAAACCCTGAAGATAGTTACCGTGAAGATCCGGGTTAGAATAGGTCTTCAGCAATCTATGCTTTCCGTAAGAGGCGACTATGCTTGTCGTAAGAGGTGACTAACGGAAGTCGGGTGGTCAAGCACGCTGAATTGGTTGATGCATGTCATCGTATCCCAAATGAGTAGACCGTTTCTCATGATTTCAATCACTGGATTGTCTGGTTCATACTCGATTGTTTACATAGCGCCGTCATTTAGCTGGAATATACTCATTTCGTGACAAAATATTTTATGGTAATAACGGTATGGGTTGTTTTTTCCAAAACATATGACGAATTCTCTATCTCCTAAGTAGTTGACAATACTTGTACAGTGTCACCTGTGCCACCTGTGTCGCCTTTGTCACCTGTGTCGCCTGCATCACCCGTGCACCTGTCTCACCTGTCTCACCTGTGTCACCTGTATCACCTGTTCCCGAAACCAAGTGTACAACACTGCTTTTGGCAGTATAAGGTGGAAACACACAGGACCTCATAGGTAAGGCATTACGTCATGTAACTGGTGAGACATCATTGTAGTAAGGATGTTCTTCCATTTCTATTTTACAGGAACCTGGGGCAACATGGCGTGCCATTGACAGGGATGAAACCAAGAAAACACAGTCCTTGGAATAGTATAACGTGGAATACACTCCTTTTGTTGAATTATTGAGTGTGAGATGGGCTCAAATCCGCTTTGAACAGTATTCCAGTTACATCACGGCGTGTCAGCTTGATGTGGGAGGATATCCCAAAGTGCAGCAGGTCCTAGGTATTAGCTATTTTGGTGAAACCAACCAGTACAGGTGCTGACAAACCAAGAAACATAATCGCAAGGAAACTTGGATTAGAACTCACGATTCGCGAATCCAGGTGCCTCAGACGAATGGGCCACCCGTGGACCCTGATAATTATTCAGCTTGGTTAGTATATGTATCTGGTGGGATTCATCTGCAAGCTATAGGGCCCGTGAAGATCCAGGGTAGTATAGGTCTTCAGCAATCCATTCTTGCAGTAAAAGGCGACTATGCTTATCGAAAGAGGCAACAAACGGGAACGGGTGGTCAGGCTCGCGACTTGGCTGATACATGTTATCGTATTCCAATAGCGCGGATTTATGCCCATGATGTCAATCACTGGATTGTCTGGTTTAGACTCGATTATTTACATACCGCATCATATGGCTGGAACATTGCGGTGTTAAACAACAAACAAACGAAAGCAAGCTATAGTTTTCGTATATGACCTGTTTCTGTGTAGTGATCTTTGATTCATATCGTGTTATTTGTGTATTATCCTACTTTTTTGTAAATAAGCAGAATGAACAAAGTAACATATTTTCATTTTTTGTTTAAATAGATAGAATACTGATAAAACAATGTGGTATTTTCTGTTAGTAGTTTGACTTCCTTTTTCTTTCGAATGTGCATTTATATTAGTCCATGAGCCAGATCCCAAAAAAATTATAAAGCGTTACCACCTGGGGTGGCAAAATCTCAGTATGATTTTTTTTAAAGTCATTTATCCATAGATGAAAAAAACTTTGAAAGCAATAAAGGGGGACCTCTGAGTAGACTCCACGGGACCAGATTTCGGGGTGAGGGAAACTAAAAGTGGAATAACTTTACAAGCCATATTCATATGGTGACGTATGACCACTCAAAATGTTGGTAGCCGGATGAGCTACATCTTGGTACTAATACAAGGAAAATACAGTAATAATGTAGGTCACCAGAGGTCAAAAGGTCACGAAATTTGACCCATGCCTAAAATCTTACCACCTGTCAGAAAATACAAAAACCAATGGAACTTTCATAACCAAAATGGACTATAATTGAAACCAAGAAGTACACAAGTTTGTTAAAAGACTAAAAAAGTGAAATTTATTGTCTTTTGTGGTGTGGTACAGAATGGTTTTTGATGCATTTTTAGACAAATGTCGTTTTGCGCTAAAAGCATGCAAAATTGTGTGAAGTTGGACTTCTTGAAATGTGTCATTATGATTTTTCATTAAAAAAATACTCCTGTTGCTAATAATCATGTCCTTTATGTATTCAAATGTTGCTTAAGTTAAATTTGAATGCAATTTGGTTACCACTAATCCAAGATGAATGCCATCTAGTACCATATATGAACTTGGTTTTAACCTGATTTTTTTACAAAATATAACTCTTTCACAGATAAAGTGAAACGCAAAAGAAACGTCACCATGCAGAGATATTTTAGAAACACTGTAAACATACTTTGAGACGTATTGAAAAAAAGAAACTTGGCAAAACTGATGTGTCAAATGTGAAACACAACACTTGTCTCTGAGAAAATGGCATCACCAGTCAGTATCTCGTGTGTCCGCCACGTGCAACGTCGATACATGGAATGGATGAGGCAGTTGATGAAGTCCATAGGCACTTGAGCCCACACTCTGAGGAACACCTGACGCAGTTCAGCTGCAGTTGTCGGCCTTGGTCGGACGTCTTTCAGCCGCCTTTGAATCTCGTCCCTGAGGTGCTCTATGGGATTTGAATCGGGACCGAGGGTAGGTCACTGCATGGTTCTGATGCCATTCTGCCGGAAGAAGTCTCTTGTGGATCTCGCAATGTGAGCACGGGTGTTATCATGATGAAACTCGTGTTTTCGGCGACGTGCCAAATGAGGTATGACGTGTGGTCTCAAGACTTGATCGATGTACCGAGCTACTGTGACACCATTACCTCTCCCTGGACCGATGTTCTGGAAGACCACAGGGCTGACCCTCTGTGCAAGACCAATTCCACCCCACACAATTCCACAGATATTTAAATGACAACTTTTCATGGAATGTTACTAGTGGTGACGTTTCTTTTGTGGTTCAGTATATGTTGAGTTTGAATAAGAAGGGAAGCATCTGGACCTTTATTCTGCAAAAGATAAGACACACTTAATGGGTTAGTTTTTTTTATTTTGAGACAATGACTGCTCCCTTTCAATGGCCTCCTCATGAGAACAAGAACTGGGATGTGAGCCAGTGACCATTATGTGAATATTTTTTTATGAAGGAAAACAATTGTTAATATTTAACTCTCCTTAACATGCAAGAAAGATTAAATGATCAAAAAAACATTTGCCAAGTCACATTACTAAACATTCATAAAAAGGAATACAAGCAGTGTCGTCTGTTTTTCAAGGGAGATAACTCTCATCGATCGTTTTTCAAAAGGTAGCAGGTAATGTTTTTGAATAGCTGCTGAAGGTGATGTCAGTCGCTCTTGGTATAAAGCCTGGAAAGACGCCACAAGCTCCCTCCACTTCTGCTGCAACTGCCACAGACTCTTGCTTCGTGCAACCCTGACCAAATATATACTCAAATTGAAGAGTATCCATATGATATGATACCTGATGACAAAGGCAAACCTTTGAACTATCCTGACGACTTAATCTGGTCCCGTGGATTCGACTCAGAGGTCCCCTTTTGAGCTGTGTGTCCCGGATTGCTTTCAAATCTCTTGATATATGTATTTAAAAAATCATACTGAGATTTTGCCACCCGAGGTGGTACCAGTATCTCGTCTGGCTCATGCACAATATGACACTAAGCTACCCTGGTTTGTCTTAACAAGAGGATTGCTGTGTATCTGATTGAAGTCTCCCATAAAGTCCATATCGATCATTACGATTATTATAAACGTCAACAAAACAGTTTGTCAATTGCAAAGAAAGTGTTGTCATGTTTAGTATACAAAATATGAAAAGACACAAAAAACGTTTCCATAATCATTTGAAATCTCTACTAAAGTCAGAGTGAGTTAGATGTGTTTAACGCCCCACTGAACAGTTACTAGTTTATCACGACGTGTCAGCTTGATGTGGGGTAAAGCCCAAAGTGATGTATCTCTTAGACGTTTTCTATTATAGTAAAGCCCACGACAACGGATATGGTGCCGACAAAAGTAGAAACATAAACGGAGCGAGCCGGGATTCGAACCCACAATCATAGATTTCTGGCAAGCCCAAGGGACGCAACTCTGCACAGCGACTTACAACGCCTTAGACAACTGGACCACCTGTGCCCCCACCAAAAGCAGAGTCCAATATACGATTGCGAATATATCATAAGCATATGTTTATGAATGACTATCAGATTGTGATAATACCAGATTTGATGAGCGTATCCTGCACCATCGGTGGGACCAATCACAAACATATGTAATGGCAAGTCAAGTGTTCACCTAAACAAATACGGGAACATCCAAAATGTAGAAGAGCAGAATTGAAATAAGATCGTTTCCAGTGTGACCCTACATGTAACCATTCATGGTTCTTATCTGGAGCTTCGTATACTACCTGGTATGTTTGGGTGTTCTGTATGAGGTCTTAAGAAAAGATAATAGCTAATGCAATAGTATAGTTCAGGTGAGAACCTTATGACACATCATCACAAATATAATTCGTTATGATCGCACATGCTGTGTCAGGTGAGGACATTATGACACTTGTCCTTGAACTATAGTTCAAGTCGTGCTTGTGTCTGTTGAGCCAGGTGATTACTGCCTCACATCTGTCCTGGAGCTACAGATAATAGCTGCAGTCATGTCTTTACCTGTAGAGCCAGGTGATGGAAGTATGTCATCTGTCCTGGAACTACAGACAATAGATCGAGTCATGTTCGTGTCTGTAGAGTCGGGTGATAGATGCATGTCATCTGTTCCAGACTACCAGACTAATCGATTGTTGACCACACGCTCCATGGTTTTACCAACACAGCTAGTTCATACTACTGGACAGGCTTTGGTATAGGAATGATTATAGCATTGTGCCACGAAGGGGGGGAGATTTCCGGTTGTCCATTTGTCAACAAATATATAATTAGAGTTTCCAAACATGAATCGTGCAAATGTTTCGGGAGCTGATAATGAATGTTGTCAGTTTCTGCTGCGGTGTCCTTTCTCAACCTTCTTCCTTTTTTCCTAGCCTGTTTACAGTCACTATCAAACCATGGTTTACGTATATGAGGGTTTGCAGAGGATGTCGGAGTGCTTTTGTCTCCAATAGCATTTAATTGATCTGAAAATAGTTATATAAGATCAGGAACATTCTTTGAATTGATAACATGGACAGTAAGTCCATCTGCCTTTATTGTGGGGATAAAATTGACATAGGCCGTTAACAGGTTTTATGGTAAGAATAACCGGAAGTGGTCAGGCTTTATTATAGGGATATAATTAACATAATAAGTTAACCAGACTTTATTGTTGAGATAAAATGGATGTAGTCTGTTGACCAGACTTTAGTGTACGGTTTAAATGGAATCAGATAACAAGGATTTATTGTAGGGGTGAAATGGACGCGGTCAGTTAAGCTGGTTTTTATTTTAGTTAAGTTGATCTGACTTTATTGTAGGGGTAATATGGATGCGGTCAGTTAAGCTGGTTTTTATTTTAGTTAAGTTGATCTGACTTTATTGTACGGTTAAAATGGACGCGGTCAGTTAAGCTGGTTTTTATTTTAGTTAAGTTGATCTGACTTTATTGTAGGGGTGAAATGGACGCGGTCAGTTAAGCTGGTTTTTATTTTAGTTAAGTTGATCTGGCTTTATTGTAGGGGCAAAAGTGAGCATGGACATATGTCATCAGTATACAGTTATCCATAAAATCAAACAATTTTTGTGAAAGAGGGGCTTTGCCCAAACACACGTTCCAGATTAGAGTTTAAGACCATTCCATTAGGATCCAAACTTTCCCTGATTTTGCATAAACCTTCAAACTTTGGGTAGAGCTTCCGGGAATCTTTCGTCATGAGACATCAATATATTTAGAATGATTTTGTGTCAGGTTGATGGCGTGTCAACGTACCTGACGGCATGGATTGTGGCTCTTGTAAAGCGACAACAACAAAATACAGCACTCAGCTGTAGAGCTGACAGCAACTAAATACAGCACTCAGCTGTAGAGCTGACAGCAACAAAATACAGCACTCAGCTGTAGAGCTGACAGCAACAAAATACAGCACTCAGCTGTAGAGATGACAGCAACTAAATACAGCACTCAGCTGTAGAGATGACAGCAACTAAATACAGCCCTCAGTTGTAGAGATGACAGCAACTAAATACAGCACTCAGCTGTAGAGCTGACAGCAACAAAATACAGCACTCAGCTGTAGAGCTGACAGCAACTAAATACAGCACTCAGCTGTAGAGCTGACAGCAACTAAATACAGCCCTCAGTTGTAGAGATGACAGCAACTAAATACAGCACTCAGCTGTAGAGCTGACAGCAACAAAATACAGCACTCAGCTGTAGAGATGACAGCAACTAAATACAGCACTCAGCTGTAGAGCTGACAGCAACTAAATACAGCACTCAGCTGTAGAGCTGACAGCAACAAAATACAGCACTCAGCTGTAGAGATGACAG